AGCCTAGTTTGAAAAAGTCAACCGGATATTGACTTATGAGTTAGAGGGCTCGGATGTGGTATTTGGTGGTTCGATTAGCTTCGGGGGATGATTTGTGACTTAGGAGTGCGATCGGAAGTGGTTTTGGAGGTCCGGTGTAGAAATAGGCTTGAATTGGCGAAGTTAGTATTTTGGCGAATTCCGGTTGATAGGTGAGATTTTGATCCGAGGGTCGGAATAGAATTCTGAGAGTTGCAGTAGCTTCGTTATGTCATTTGGATGTGTGTGCAAAATTTCAGGTCATTCGGACGTGTTTCGGTTGGGTTTTTTTTATCAAATGCGTGTTTTAGAAGTTTTAGAAGAACTTAGGCTTGAATTCGATGTAATTCGATGGTTTTGGTATTGTTTGAGGTGTTGTGGTGATTGGAACGAGTTTGGATGGTGTTTTAGCATGTGTTGGTGTTTTTGGCTGAGGTCCCGGGGGCCTCGGGGTGATTTCAGATGGCTAACGGGAAGTTTTGGACTTGTGCAACTCAGAATTTGCTGCTGCTTCTGGTATTTCCGCTTCTGCGGAATTGGGACCGCAGAAGCGGTGTCACCCATGCGAAGAGGAGGCCGCAGAAGCGAGGGTTGTCCTGGTCAGCTGTTTCCGCAAAAGCGGACTAGGAGCCACATCTGCGAAGCTGCAGATGCGGGATTTCAACCGCAGAAGCGATTCCAGGGAGGCTAAGTGATTTTTGCGGATGCGGAGTTATGACCGCAGAAGCGGAAATTTAACTGCAGAAGCGGTTATGACTGGGCAGAAGGTATTTCAGTTCTTCTTCGCAAATTTTTGAAGGGTTGGTCATTTTCACTTCGGACTTGGAGAATTGTGGGCAATTTTAAAGAGGGATTTCAAGGAGCTTCGATAAGGTAAGGATTCTTGGACCTCAAACACAATCCTATGGTGTTATTACATGAAGTAAGACTGAAAAATTAAGAAAAACAAGGACTAAAAATGGAGGTTAGGGCTTGAACTTAAGAGAGCTAAGATTAGGGATTTGAGGGGTCAATTGAACTTCGATTCTTGTGATTTTGATATGTATGAACTCGTGGCGAGATAAGGAATCCGTTGATATGAAAATTTCTGAGTTTCGAAAGTGGGCCCAGGGCTCGGGTTTTGCTAATTTCAGGATTTTTGATGCTTTTCGATTATTTTTGCTTGGGTTTTGTTCCCTTAGCCTATTGTAATGTATTCGTTGTGGTTTTGGTCAGATTCGATGCGCGAGGAGGTCGATTTGAGAGGCAAGGGCATAGCGAGCTAGAGCTTTAGCCGGTTCGAGGTGAGTAATGTATGTAAATGATGTCCTAAGGGTTTGAAACCCCGGATTTGCACATCGTAGTGCTATATTGAGGTGAGACACGTGTTTGATGGTGAGTGTGAGGTCGTTTACTATTGGGATAGTGACTTGGTCCATCCCGAGTGATGCTTTTACCACGTATTTGATTGAAGCATAATTCTTATCATCATTATTTGGACTGATTGCCATATTTGGGCTTTGTGCCAACTATTTGGACCCTTCGGGGATTGTTATCATTGTTTCTTCACTATTTGACATATTACTTGATCTCAGTCCTATTGTTTAATACTATTTTACAAACTCAGCCACTTTTACTCAGATTTGAAACTTAAATAATATTTCTAATGACGTTTTGGGCGGAGGACTACTATTTTATTATTGTCCGAGGGGCTTATGTGATTTCTGGACTGAGTATGGGATCGGACTGTGCGCCACAGCAATATTATATCGATATTGAGGCCGAGGGCCTAGTTGATGCCACGAGATCGCTTGTTATTGCGCTTGGGCCGTAAGGGGGCCCTCCAGAAGTCTGCACACCCCTAGTGAGCGCCGTCGACGATAAATAAATGGATCGGGCTGCACGCCGCAGTGGGTACTAGAGAGTACCGTTTTATGTGTTGCATTTCCTTATTTATCTATCATTTATCTACTTGTCCGTGGTAGTAATTCTATACTTCGATTTCATGGGTTTATCGCTTTCATTCTACTTGTCTTAAATTGCCTAATTATAGATTACCCTGTGCTTTTCTATGATTTCTTATTCTCAGCCATTATTTATGTTTATTACTCACTGGGTCAGAGTACTCACATTACTCCCTATACCTTGCGTGCAGATCCAGGTGCATCTGAGACTGAGTGAGGATTATTTCAGTTGAGCAGCGCATATCCGGGAGCATCAAGGTAGCTGCATGGCGTCCGCAGCCCTGATCTCTCCCTTCTATCCTTGTTTTTAATTAGTATTCCCTAGATGGACATGTATTAGGTTGATAAACCTATATTAGAGGCTCAGACTTGTGACACTGGATGCTTTTGGGCTATGTTGTAGGATTATTATTGAGATTCCGCATGTTTTAGCTCTTATTTCAGACTTCAAGTATTATGACTTGGTAAATTATATGTGGTAATTAATCACGAACTGTGTGAGAAATGGGTTAAGGTCATTATATGGTCGGGCTTGCCTAGCAGTATGTTGGGCGCCATCATGACCAGGGTTGGGGTCGTGACAAGTTGGTATCAGAGCCTAGGTTACATAGGTCTCGCAAGTCATGAGCCGATTTAGTAGAGTCTCGCGGATCGGTACGGAGACGTCTGTAATTATCCTCGAGAGGCTGCAGGACCTTTAGGAAAAACTTCACATCCTTGAAATTCTATCGTACGACTTTGTTGATTCGAGAACTAAACTTCTATCATTCTATTCTCTCATGGATGGTGAGGATGCGAGCTACCGGATGAGGTGGACGACCACCAGTGCCACCCACTGGGGCCACCAGAGGATGTAGACGCGGTCGTGGCAGAGATAGAGCAGCGAGGGAAGCACTTGTTGATCCACCAGCTGCCCCAGCTTCGGATCAGGCTCCAGTAGCACCAGTTCAGGCACCAGCTGTGCCCATCGTGATTTCGAGTCTTCAGGAGGCCTTGGCACAGATCTTATCGGTTTGCACTGTCCTGGCTCAGGCAGTTTCGGCCACTATCGCAATAACTACTTCACAGGCCAAGGGAGGCAATCAGACCCCCGCTGCTCGCACACCTGAGCAGGTAGTGCAGGGACTACAGGCGCTGGGGGCACCTCCAGCCCAGCCGGTTGCACCAGTTCAGGAGTTTGTAGTACCAGTTATGTCGGATGATGAGCAGCGTCGTCTTGAGAGGTTTGGTAGGCTCCAGCCTCCGATGTTCAGTGGTGCTGAGGGCGAGGATGCCCAGGGTTTTCTTGACAAGTGTCAGCGTATGCTTCGTACAGCAGGGATCCTTGAGTCGAGTGGTGTGGCTTTTACTACCTTTCAGTTCTTTGGGGCTTCTTTTACTTGGTGGGAGGATTTTGAGAGGCGTAGGCCTGTTGATGCAGCGCCCCTTTCTTGGCAGCAGTTCTCCTCTCTCTTCTTGGAGAAGTATATACCGTAGTCCCACAGAGAAGAGCTACGTAGACAGTTTGAGTGGTTGACTCAGGGGGATATGACAGTGACCCAGTATGAGGTGAGGTTTTCGCAGTTGGCCCGTCATGCTATTTGGATGATTCTGACAGATCGTGAGAGGATCAAGAGGTTTGTGGATGGCCTTAACTATCATCTCCGTATTCTGATGACTAGAGAGAGAGTATTGGGTGCCACGTTCGAGGAGGTGGTTGATATCGCTCGTGAGATTGAGACGGTCCGCAGTAGAGAGCGAGAGGAGAGGGAGGCCAAGAGGCCTTGAGGTTCTAGCAGTTTCGGTGGTGCTCCATCTAGGGGCCAGTTCCAGTGTGGTAGAGGTCGTTTTTTCAGGCCTGCTCAGTCGGCCCGTCCAGAGTATAGTGGGGCATCTTTAGGCCGTGGTCATCAGGGGTTTCAGTAGGGCCAGTCTTCACTTAGCGCCCTCCCATCTCAGAGTTTGTCTCGTGCCCCATCCGTCCAGGGTTCCTCCATGGCAGGTCCTTCTACTGGTCATTCTGGTGCCAGGGGTTCCCTTCAGTCCCCATCTCTAGCACCTAGTAGTTGATTCGAGTGCAGAGAGTTTGTTCATATGAGGAGGCAGTGCCCTCGACTTCGTGGTGGTCAGTCTCAGCAGAGGGATCATCCCTCGATTTCTGCTCCAGTTACTTCACCACCCGCCCAGCCAGCTAGGGGTGGAGGTCAGGCAGCCAGGGGTCGCCCCAGAGTGGGAGGTCGATCCGGCAGTGGCCAGGCTCATTTCTATGCCATTCCAGGCAGGACAGATGCTATCACTTCAGATGTTATCATTACAGGTATTATTTCAGTCTGCCACAGAGATGCCTCTGTATTATTTGATCCCGGTTACACCTATTCTTATGTGTCCTCATATTTTGCTCATTATTTGGGTACGCCCCATGAGTTTCTTGCTTTACCTGTTTATGTATCTACCCTGGTGGGCGATACTATTGTTATGGACCGTGTGTACCGGTCATGTGTTGTGACTATTGGGGGTCTGGAGACCCGAGTTGATCTATTGCTATTGAGCATGGTGGACTTTCAAGTTATTTTGGGCATGGATTGGTTATCTCCGTGTCATGCTATTCTAGACTATCATACTAAGACAGTCACTTTGGCTATGCCGGGTGTATCGCGGATCGAGTGGCGTGGCGTGATTGATTATGTTCCTAGTAGAATGATCTCTTTCTTGAAGGCCTAGCGTATGGTTGGGAAGGACTGTTTGTCATATTTAGCGTTTGTGAGGGATGTTAGAGCTGAGACTCCCAGTATTGATTCTGTCCCAGTTGCGAGGGATTTTCCCGATGTGTTTCCTGCAGACCTGCCGGGCATGCCACCGGACAGGGATATTGATTTTGGTATTGACCTAGTGCTGGGCACTCAGCCCATTTCTATTCCATCGTATCGTATGGCACTAGCAGAGTTGAAAGAATTTAAGGAACAGCTTTAGGAACTCCTAGATAAGGGGTTCATTCGACCTAGTGTGTCACCGTGGGGTGCACCGGTTCTATTTGTGAAGAAGAAGGATGGCACAATGAGAATGTGCATTGATTACAGGCAATTGAACAAGGTAATAATTAAGAACAAGTATCCTTTGCCTTGCATTGACGATTTATTTGACCAGCTTCAGGGAGCGAGGGTGTTCTCTAAGATTGATCTCCGTTCGGGCTATCACCAGTTGAAGATCATGGATTCAGATATTCTTAAGACTGCTCTCAGGACTAGATATGGTCACTATGAGTTTCTTGTCATGTCTTTCGGGCTGACCAATGCCCCAGCAGCATTCATGCATCTGATGAACAGTGTATTTCAACCTTATCTGGATTCGTTCGTTATTGTATTCATTGATGATATTCTGGTGTACTCACATAGTCAGGAGGAGTACGCGGAGCATTTGCGAGTTGTATTGTGGAGATTGAGGGAGGAGAAGCTTTATTCAAAATTCTCCAAGTATGAGTTTTGGCTCAGTTCAGTGGCTTTCTTGGGGCACGTAGTGTCCAGCGAGAGTATTCAGGTTGATCCGAAGAAGATAGAGGCGGTTCAGAGTTGGCCTAGACCATCCTCAGCCACAGATATTCGTAGCTTTCTTGGGTTGGCAGGCTATTATCTCCGGTTTGTTCAGGGATTCTCATCCATTGCATCGCCCTTGACCAAGTTTACTCAGAAGGGTGCTCCATTTGTATGGTCGAACGAGTGTGAGGAGAGCTTTCAGAAGGTCAAGACAGCTTTGACCACAGCTCCAATGTTGGTTTTACTATCAGCTTCAGGTTCATATACCGTATATTGTGATGTTTTGAGAGTTGGGATTGGTTGTGTATTAATGCAGGAAGGTAGAGTCATTGCTTATGCTTCTCATCAGTTGAAGCCCCATGAGAAGAACTACCCTGTTCATGATTTGGAGTTGGCTGCCATAGTTCATGCATTAAAGATTTGGAGGCACTACTTGTATGGCGTATCTTGTAAGGTATTCACCCAGTTGAAGCCCCATGAGAAGAACTACCCTGTTCATGATTTGGAGTTGGCTGCCATAGTTCATGCATTAAAGATTTGGAGGCACTACTTGTATGGCATATCTTGTAAGGTATTCACTGATCATCGCAGTTTTCAGCATTTGTTCAAGCAAAAGGATCTTAATTTGAGGCAGCGGAGGTGGTTGGAGTTGCTTAAAGATTATGATATTACTATATTGTATCATCCGGGAAAGGCCAATGTGGTGGCCGATGCTTTGAGCCGAAAGGCAGTGAGTATGGGCGGTTTGGCATATATTTCAGTTGGGGAGAGACCCCTTGCAGTTGATGGTCAGGCCTTGGCCAATCGGTTTGTGAGACTAGATATTTTGGGGCCCAGTCGGGTGTTGGCTTGTGTGGTTTCTCGATCTTCCTTATATGATCGCATCAGAGAGTGCCAGTATGATGATCCACATTTGCTTGTCCTTAAGCGTAGAGTTCAACATGATGATGCCAGAGATGTGACCATCGGTGATGATGGTGTGTTGAGGATGTAGGGCCGGATTCGTGTGCCCAATGTGGATGGAGGAGGCCCATAGCTCGCGGTATACCATTCATCCGAGTGCCATGAAGATGTATCAGGATTTAAGATAGCACTATTGGTGGAGAATAATGAAGAAAGATATTGTGGGATTTGTAGCTCGGTGTCTCAATTGTCAGCAGGTGAAATATGAGCATCAGAGACCGAGTAGCTTGCTTCAGCAGATGGTTATTCCCGTGTGGAAGTGGGAGAGGATCACTATGGACTTTGTGGTTGGACTTCCTCGGACTTTGAAGATGTTTGATGCTATTTGGGTGATTGTGGATCGGCTGACCAAGTTCGCGCACTTCATTCCTGTGTGTACTACTTATTCTTCAGAGCGATTAGCAGAGATATATATCCGGGAGATTGTTCGGTGGCATGGTGTTCCGGTTTCCATCATCTCAGATAGGGGTACTCAGTTTACTTCCCTGTTTTGGAAGTCTGTTCAGCGAGAGTTGGGTACTCAGGTGGAGTTGAGCACAACTTTTCATTCTCAGACGGACGGGTAGTCCGAGCGTACTATTCAGATATTGGAGGACATGTTGCGTGCTTGTG